ATTGACTACTAAATTTCTAGTACTGACACACAGTGGACCTTTGAGCTAAATGCTAACATCAACATGCTAACATGTTGATAATATTGCTAATATGCTGATTTTGAGAAGGTATAATATTTATCATCTCACTTTAGTGTGCCAATTAGCACTAAACACAAAGTCAAGCTGAGGCTGAAAGTCTTTAGTTTTGCAGGTATTTGTTCAGAAACTACAAATTAAAACTTTGACCCAATGAGAGGATATAGCTGAAAAATGGTTACCAAAATTATTACAAGTCATTCTGTCGGTGACATGAATGTCTACTTTGTAAACTTGCTGATGTTGGCAATGTGGTTTTGGTTGCATCTACTGCTGTTGCCGTAACCATTTTTAACAAAAGACAAAGGCAGCGGATGATAGCGGTTTCCTGTGTACACACGTACCGTGTCATTTTGTTTTGTTTATATGGCAGCCGCCGTAAACTGGATGGAAAGAACCCGTCCGGTGACGCAGTGGGGTCACTTGACGTGTTAATGCACTAAAAGTGTTTCCATTACACTTTTGCGACATACATCTGTATCAGCATGTCTGAAAAACCACCTCATGAGAGCATAAAAACTTTTTAGCGATATTTGAGAGGTTTTGCAAAATTCAGGTGTTTCCATTACCTGTTTTCTGTTGGGCTGTTTAGGTTTTGCGTATTTCTAGGGGTAAGCAAAAAATGTGCTTTGCATAAGGTAGCTATAAAAAATCTTAAACATTAATATTATATTCTACTTTCATTGAGCTTATTTTTTTCACCTACATCTGACCTAATTATTGATATCAGATATTCATGATTCATGGATTCAAGATTTAAACCCTTTAAATGCCAGGTTTTGGTCATGATGTCATCATGTTTTTAGATGAAAAAAAAATAAACAGAACAGAAAATATGAATTATTTTCAATATACTACATGCAAAGTAGATTTTTTTGGTTTGGAATATTACAGCCTGGGATATGTCAATGATTAGCAGCAACATTTTTATGCATTATTATTTTTTGTGCATTGTCAAATAATCACACTTGTACCACTAAAGCCTAGTTCACAATACACGATTTTCATGGCAATTCTGACGTCGCAGAGGATTTTGAGAGCCACCTTGGGTCGGAGGTGAGTTAGCAGATAGTTTGCCACGACGAATCCTTGTGTGTGAACAAGCCCACGAGCAAGTCACCCCCTTGTCTGTGACTGGGACTGGATATCTGGCATGCTAGAAAACTTGAGAAGTCTGACACGACTGTCAAAGAGCATCAGCCAATGAGAGGCGGGATACGTCCCACTTCAGCACGCAAGAGGATGGAAGAAATGTGAGGAGGACAAGCCGGCAAGCAACAACAACGGCGGCGTCCACAGGATCATGGGGAGCACGTTGCGTTTGGACCCAGGCCCTGGAGGCAGATCTGATTCAACACTGGAAAGAATATCCATGCCTTTACGATGTGTTGTCTCCAAGTTAAAAAACGTAGTTTGGTGACATCACCGCGTTATCTGTAGCTCTGTCGGCGAGGGCTCGGTGGAGAAATCTTGTGGTGTGCACACACAGGTCGTGACGCAGTTGGCGAGCCTCCCACTAACAGAAACACATCACCAGGTGTGAACACTCAAAAGATTATGATAGTCTCCGCAACGCAAAATCAGGGTGAAAGTCGTGTAATGTGAACCAGCCTTAAGCACAAAAAATGTGCTTTGCATAAGGTAGCTTTAAAAAATGTCATACATTAATATTATTTCCAATTTAATTTAAAAAAAAAAAAAGATCAATTCCAAGGCCAAAGCCCAGACTGACACCCAGATATAATAAAATGCATTTATTATGCTTTAATGGAAGTGAGATAAAAAATTGCAGTTTGAATGGGCACATTTTACGCACACGCACACACACACACACACACACACACACAGTGTGATCTTCGTGAGGTGGAGACGAGGCGGAGAAAATAAAAAGTGAGTTGAGCGTGAGAAAGACAGAGAACTTGTTCCTAAACCAAATGCCACGTGTGGGAGTGTTTTGGATTGAAACCAAATGACAGGGTGGTGCCCAGTAATTTGGACGAGCCACTGTGTTCGTTTGTTTGTTCTAAAACCATCTCAACAACAAGAGCAAATACGACAAACTTAACTGCACACCTGAGAGTGAGAGACTGACAGTCTATTTTTATTTATTTATTTCGATGTTTTTACGTGTTATTTCGGATATTTAAATTTTCTTTTTTTGCATTCCTAAATATTCTTGTTAAATAAATGTTTCTTTCTCTTTAAAAGGGTGTACTTGCATCAATATGCCTTTATTATCATTATATAAGTTTAAAAAATGGTCTAAAAACAGCAAAATTACAACAATAATAAAAATGGTCTTAAAAGCACAGTATTACACAATATTATCACTTATCGCAATAATTTCTGACGCAATTAATCGCCCAGCAAAATCTGTTATCCTGACAGGCCTAGCTTCTTCCATCCCCCTTTCAAACTGTGTTGTTGTTGTTTGTTTGTGGTTGTTACATTGCTTGTTGTCAGTGGTGTACTGTGGATTTGTTATGTTGTATGTGTTGTATTTTTTTGTTTGGTTTGAAATTAATGAATAAACTAAACTAAACTGGATTTTACTACACTAAATAATACTTTCAAGATCAACTGGACTAAGCATTTTCTAAAAAAACCACTTTGATATGGAACTTTATTCCCCATCACATTTTCTCTAGATTTGGTGGCTTAAGTTTTATTTTATGTTGTAATTACAATATTGAGAAACTCTCTGTGAAATTATCTGCATTTCATGAACAGGTCCTTCTAGCATGGTCTTTAAATACCATTTCTCACCACACAGTTACCTGATTTGGAACAATAGAGACATTTTGTTCAAAAATAAATCACTGTTCTTTGAGAGATGGGTTCAGGGGGAGGACCCAAAGATCATCCAAAAATTTTCAGTCTGAGCTATGTCATTTTAAGAGAGTCGCACACAGTATATAATATTGAGTATCCAAAGAAGCTTGAGCGTATTTAAGCAGTAGCACTTTTTAAATTGCCATACCTTTAGGCTATTTTCTGGATGTTTAATACATTCTGCATATAATCATTTGTTCAAAGAAGCTCAAAGCCATAATAAATAAACTGACATTACCAAGGTCAAAGTTACTGTCTAAAGAGTGAAAAATATGTTTTCGATATTACCACTAGAACATCGACTTTTAACATTATCTAAAAATTTTAAATATAGTCAAGCTAGAACAAGAGTCTACAGCCATGCTAGCAGCTCTGTGAGGTTGTGCTAACTAGGGATGTCAGAAGAACCGATACTTTGGTATCATCAAGTCCATACCTCAATTCTGTAAACACGGTGGTACTCAAATTTCTCCCGCATTGTAGACACAATGGTTGCTATTATTCATGACCCAACGAGGCAGCATAAATGCATAAAAGTTTTCTAGTTACAACTACAACAACACCTGGAAGACAGCAAAAGTGCAGCTGCAGCAACAGCTTTGTCTCGACTCATCAAAAAGAAAAGCATTTTTTCCTGAGGCCAGCGTATTTTTTTTAATTCTTTGCAATCAGCGCAAACAAACAAACAAACAAACGACAGCAGCCTGACAAGGCACTGAGTGTCTATTCTGCGCTGAGCGCTACATGTTTAGCGTTTTTTACTGGTCACTGAGAGCTGAAAAGAATGTTCAGCTTTTGTTAAAACACTGCGCTCGTCACTGTCAGTTTTTGCAGGAGGGATGGGATAAATAGCGTACCACAAAGACCAACTGTCACATCTTACATGTAAAAGTACTAAACAACAACAACAACAACAATGGAGGAAGAATATGTTAATATACTGCAGGCTATATATTAATTAATATGTTTCCTATGCGACAAAATCTAATTAATCCACGCTGATTAGTACTTTGCGTTTGAGGCTGCTCATCAGGGCTTATAATGAAATTTAGATTAAAGCTGAATGTTTTAATAAAAGGAGTGTATATTCAAGTACATATGATGTTTTTGTTGTGTTGTTTTTTACCCTAGGTATCGAGAATCTTACTGGTATTGGTATTGACTACTAAATTTCTAGTACTGACACACAGTGGACCTTTGAGCTAAATGCTAACATCAACATGCTAACATGTTGATAATATTGCTAATATGCTGATTTTGAGAAGGTATAATATTTATCATCTCACTTTAGTGTGCCAATTAGCACTAAACACAAAGTCAAGCTGAGGCTGAAAGTCTTTAGTTTTGCAGGTATTTGTTCAGAAACTACAAATTAAAACTTTGACCCAATGAGAGGATATAGCTGAAAAGTGGTTACCAAAATTATTACAAGTCATTCTGTCGGTGACATGAATGAAATTTCATGACGAGCCATCAAATAGGCCTAATTGTATGGACATTTATCTAAAAATTGGGGGGAAAAATGCCACCATCATGGCGGTGCCAGAGGAAGTCTGGGAATGACCAAAGTCAGTAAGATTCCACTTGTGTGTACCATAAATATCTGTAACAATTTTCATGATAATCCATCCAATAGGCATCAAAATATAACAGTATGAAAAGCCATCTCATGAGACACGCTGATAGCATGACTAGATATGTATGTTTTGCAAATTCCTGCACAAAATACACATAATCATAGAAGAAGAAATACTCAATCAGACAAGTCTACTTAGTCAATCATTCATTTTCCGTAACCACTTATCCTGTCCACTTATCCAGGGGGTCTGGAGAACTATCCCAGCTGACATCGGGTGAGAGGCGGGGTACACCCTGGACAGGTCACCAGACTATCACAGGGCTGACACATAGAGACAGACAACCATTCACACTCACATTCACACCTACAGTCAATTTAGAGCCATCAATTAACCTGCATGTCTTTGGACTGTGGGAGGAAGCTGGAGCACCTGGAGAGAACCCACGCATATTTAAGTCTACTTAAATATGACAAACTGCATTAACATATCCCCCTCTCTGTCTCGCTCCAGGTGGATGGAAGGAGAACAAATACTCCCGCCTCACCAGCTGCTGGTCTGAAAATCTGGAAACGTTCCTCGCGCATCTACCTGAGGACCGACTTTGGCCTGTTAGTGGAGTTTGATGGACACAGCACAGCAGGTAACTCGTCTTCACCTCATTAAACAAGTCTAACAGAATTAGCAGTAGTCCTGGAGTCTGTAGGATCCTTAACAAATCCTTAAACCACAAGTTATCATCCCATCCCATGTCAATAAATGAGTCATTGTTGAAATTGTATTGTTGATGTTGTTCCTACAGAGATCACTCTACCACGCACATATAAAAGGAAAGTGGGAGGTCTGTGTGGGAACTTTGACGGTCAAAAGCAGAATGATTTGATGAAGCCAGATGGTACCCGTGCCAGGGGCGTTCAAGAGTTTGGAGAGAGCTGGAGAGTGTGATTATGTGACAAATGTACGGATGAGACACAGCACTTAAAAAACCCTGTGAGAGTTTTAATCACTGGTAGAAACATCACTGTAGAAGTTTACAAGAAAACTCCTCACTGATATTATATTTCATCTTACGTGACAAAAACAGACAGAATGAATGTTCTTTTTTTTTCTTTTCTTGAAACTAAGCTGCCAAACATGATGTGGCAAAAACATGACCTGTGTGAATGAAGATTTCTTTAAGTTCAGCTCTTCAGGATGGTGGCAACTTTTTTGCTGTTATACACAAAGTATATCACGGTTTAAAAACAAGACTACTACCGCACCCACTTTGTTCAAGGATTTTGCATTCTTTCAAAAACCTGATGTCCAGCTTTCAAGTCTATTTTTTAAAAGGCACTTTTTAAAAAGATATCTTTGAACTCTGACAATATATCTGACTTTTTGTGTCATTGCCAATCATACTATTTATTCAAAGATGATGTTCTTACTGCTGCGTGAATACTGTATAAAAAATTACAAATGGATTATTTTTCACTCTCGGATACTGTTGGAAAGAAACTCTGTGTGCAATAAATGATTACACAAAATGTTGCTTGCACTTGGTCATAATGTGTATTTGAATGTCAGCGCTTTGTTAGGTTTTCAATAAAGTCTTCACTGTTGTAATAAACATGCACTGTGGTTACGTTTGTGTCACCGGTAGTCTAGTACATTCCAGTCATCAAATCATAATAGAACTTCTGTAATGAGTGAGTGATGAGTAATGAGTTTACCCTGAGAAGATAAGGTAGTTGCTTTCCTCTAGCAGACAAAAGGATCATTCTTGTCAGGAGTGTACATCTATGAGTGAGCCTTACACTCAGCAGCCTCTCAGAGTCATGCATTGGTCTGCACTGTACGTCTTTCTCCTGCTGGGATTGCTGCCTTGCTATGATGGTGAGTTGCGCATTATCACATTTAATACTGCATGGTTTAATTAAGTAAAGTCATGGCATAGTCATCTCATAATACAAAATTATCTCATAGACAGTTTAGGATACACAGTTAAAGTTATGCAACCAGTGAGCTGTGTTTAACTGATCTTTGACCCGATTGTAAAAACCTAATCTATTTTCAAATGGTTAAATAGTTCAAATACGACTTGACTCAGCTAATTATTACTAAAAATAATGGTAAATAATTCAGTGTGCCTCACAAGTGCAGTAAATAGAAAAACAGCTCCTGCTGAATCAGGTCTTTGGCTTGGGTGCTAAGTTTATTTTTAGCTGAGTCATTAACTCGGTTTATAGGTCATAACAAAGACAGTGGATAAACCAGAGATATTGGATAAAGCAAGATGAGGGAGAACAGGCTCTGACTGGAGGGAGAGCTAACCATGCCCACTTAGGAGACAGGAAGAGTAACCGTTTTCTTAACATTGGATAAGCCTACAGTGGGGTATCTCCTTTATCCAATATCTCTGGATAAACCAAGACGGTCCACTGCGAGTCAGTTTCTTGTATCAGTGTCACGTGGGGTTCGCAACCACCATGCCCCTTTAGGAGACTAACAGCAGGTCCTGAGTCCATTGACTTCAGTGGGAGAAATGAACTTGATTACAGATTATAGCCGATTCTTTCGCCCCATAGTCACGGAAGCAAATATTGGTCCCATTTATCACAAGCCACTAGCCTGAGTGTCCCCAGAAGCCCCCAGAACCTTCAGTCTGACATTGCCTCCATTGAAGGCGAATTACAAGGGGGAGGGAATGTGATTTTTCCCTAACCAATCAGTAGAGATCAACGACTCACCCAGAGTCTGACGTCATTAGTATCCATGCCTCGTGGGTGCCAAAAACAAGAGAGCATTGCCCGTTTAAAATGTCTCCAATTTAGCAGCTTCCTTAGTTTGGTCCTCCATTAACACGAGTAGTGGCGAAATACCTCGATAGCATCGTTAATGTGGTCTGTAGGATCTGTAGCGGTCGCCATTGTTGCTATCCTCACCAGTTACCCACCGGTGTACAGCTTGACTTCAGCGTGGCGCTGATTGGCTAATCGCTAGACCCGCCCCCACCCCCAGTGTTCATTGGTCCGTCCATCATTTGGACGAGACAAATCGCAAATTCATTACAGTATGCCAGACCAGAGATGCAAGCCTACTCAGTTGAGTGGGCGGGGTCTATGGTCTAGAACCAGGCTAACAAGCCACATATCTTCAGAACATTCCGACACCAAAATGGCAAATTTCAGACGGACAAATCAGGAGAAAATT